GCCGGTGACCAAGGAATTGGTTCATACGCCCCACAATGGTGGTATTTCTCGACCTTAAGGCGGCATTCGACTCTGTTGATCGTAAGGTTCTATGGCAGTGTTTGTCACTGAAAGGAGTACCAAAGAAGTACATTAACCTTATACAGGCTCTCTACTCGAACACAACTGGTAGAGTGAGAGCTTATGGCGAACTGTCATCAGAATTGATTACCTCAAGTGGTGTTCGTCAGGGCTGTCCACTCTCCCCATTTTTGTTCAACTTTGTGGTCGACGTACTTTTAGAGATAACACTCTCCTCGTCTAGATTTCCAGGGGTTGAACTTCTACCAGGAGGTTCACTTGTTGACTTAGAATATGCAGATGACATAGTTTTATTTGGTGAAGACGCTGACAAAATGCAGAGTCTTCTGACCACTCTAAGCAACAATGCAAGCATGTTTGGGATGCGATTCTCTCCCTCGAAATGCAAAATGTTGCTTCAGGATTAGGTTGCATTGACACCCGAACTAATGATAAGGAGTGAAGTAATTGAGTGTGTCGATCGCTTCACTTATCTTGGAAGTCTCATCAGCCATTGTGGTCTGGTGTGTAATGAAATCTCAGCACAGATACAGAAGGCTCGACTAGCTTTTACCAACTTGCGTCATTTATGGCGTAGGCGAGATATCCGTCTATCAACCAAAGGACGTGTTTACTGTGCAGCAGTTCGTTCCGTCCTACTTTATGGCAGTGAAACATGGCCGGTAAGAGTAGAGGATATCCGTAGGTTACTAGTATTTGATCATAGGTGTCTTCGAAATATGGCTCGTATATCATGGGACCATCGAGTAAGTAATGCAGTTGTTAGGAAACGGGTACTAGGTAAGGATGGCAAATCAATTGATGAAGTAGTGAAACTTGATCAGTTGAGATGGCTGGGACACGTGTTACGTATGCCCAACGACCGACTACCTCGACGTGCTATGTTCAGTGGTATAGGAGTAGATTGGAAGAAAGCTAGGGGCGGCCAAACCAAAACATGGCACAAGTCCATGAAGTCACTGACAAGTGGACTGAGTCATGTTGGTAGGTGTAGACTACCTGGTTGGGGACCACGAGATGATAGCAACCGATGGTTAGAGACCCTGAATGACATGGCTCAAAATCGTTAGCAATGGCGCAGGTGCATCCACTCTCTGTGCTCTCCCAAATTCTAATCTTTTGAATTCTTGATGTCTCTTTTTTTCCTCTTTCCAAATTTATTTCACTGGATTATACTCTTTAAATAACATCTCTAAACCCTAATCTTCCCGATCACTGCTTATACTCTTATTACCTCTACCACTACGGGATTTGAATCGACAACTGCATCTCTGTGCTAATGTGGTGTGGCAACTCGAACTGATGTACGTACGTACGAAGTTCTACGTTGTTACTTACTGACTGGTTCATACGCCATTTGTTCCCGCAGGATACGGGAGTCCATGTGCACCACTGATTTGGTTTGGGATCCGGTTAAAGCGCCGTACATTCGCTTTTCGTCCTCTCATTTTCGTAAACATCATTCCCGTCACGAGAAGGCATTGAGTAGGACTTCTCTGGCAGAGGCTGTATACGCGTGGCCGTGTGAGAGTATTTCGAGAAGGGCGGGCCCACCCCACTCTCGGTCATACCAGGGCATTTCAAACAAACTCGCAATATTGCGAACGAATAATACAGTGAAGAATGGTAGAATAAATAAACACATAAATAATAGTATTTATTGAGAGATGAAATCCTTTTAAAAACATAGCAAAAAGTAAACTCAACTGAGTTCATTTCACTTTTATAGTTCTATAAAAAACTTCAGCAGACCCGCCTCTGGTTTGTATTTTAAGACATACCTGATAACATCTCAAGCCTCTGAGTTGCACGGTGTGTAGGAAATCAACCAACAAGTCGTGATAGACCTGTAGGTTCTGTTCCCACACAAATACCCTTTGTATCGCTCGCCATGTTGTAAAGAGACCTCTTTTTTTATACACAGTCTCGATAATTCACAATATGGAAGTTGCTGGGCTACATTTGTAAAGCAAGATTAAGCCACTAAAGTCGATGTTTCAAGAGGGTGACTGATTGAATTATTGTCGCCATCCGAATGGTATTAATGACACGGTGCTGCTATTGGATCTAAACAGTCAAACACAGAACCTCAAAAAATACTAAACTCGCAGGTTCAGGTTTCACAAGTATAGGGCAGGTCTGTTTTCACCAACGTGATGTAAACTCGACCTTTTACAGCCGGAATAAAAACACAGAGATAGGAAGATATAAAGCTCATGAAGCTTCAAGTTTTTTACTGGTAGATTAGGTGATCCGGAACAGCTGTTAATGGGTAAATGCACCAACTTTTGCTGCCTAGTATGTTCTGATCACCGCGCCTCTTAGGATGAATTTCGGAGCTTTTAAGTTACTCAACGTTTTCGTCGTGAAAAATGGGACAGTTTCAATTGTGCTGATCAATATAAAGTAATTCACGGAAAGTAAATCTGGGTAATCTACGTTTTACAGATTTATGGTTGTTAGATAAACTGCACTTCGTGATTTTGATGCTGATAAAATTATCAAGCTGTTGATCAAAATACCCTGAAGCCATAATTGAGCAGTTACCCTAGAGAGTACCCTGCACTGTTTATAATTTTAAATAAGAAATCATTGAGTTTTTAACTTGACTTAATAAAATATAACTGCCCAGCATTGCAGTTAATATACTTATTTCACCTGCCTTTTTATGCTAAAATCTAACCGTCAACAAAGGTTTATAAAGTTTTTTAAACCCCATCCTTTTTGTTTTGGTTAAGTCAACATTTTGTTTTTGGGTGTATGACGTACACCTTAAACGGATAATCTTCGGTTGTGGGTAGTGAAAGTTACGTTTAATTAAAGAATAGTTGTAAGCCAACTGCTCCGCATTGAACAATCAGTCAGCCAGTCATCAACAACGTAAAAATTCGTACGTACGTATATTAGTTCGAATTGCCATACCACATTAGCACAGATACGCAATTGTCAATGCAAATCCCGTAGTGGTAGAGGTAGTAAAAGTATAAGCAGTAACCGGAAAGATTAGGCTTTGAAGATGTTATTCAAAGAGTATAATCCAGTGAAGTAAACTTAAAAAGAGGAAAAAAGGGACATGAAGAATTCAGAAGATTAGAATTTGGGAGAACAACTAGATTATAGTCATAGTTAAGCAGATGAGAAGTTTTGTCATATTTCAACAACCAGCTCGATCATCAAGTTATTTTCTCACAAATGCGGTTTTCCTATCCATAATCTATACCTCTCTTCATCATGTTATCAGCTAGCGAAATGACAAAATAGTTCATTTCACACAAATTATATATATGTACTAACTGTAGCAATGTAATAAAATTGAGACAACTGAAATCCTAAAAAAATAATTGTATTCAGGATTTCTCCGAATACTGTGATGAGAAAACCAAGGTTGTCAAAATTATGTGATATATTTGCGCAATATATTTCGAAATCTGATCATACATTTACTTGTGGGTTAAACCTTTAGGCCAAAGGCTCGGGGCGTGGCCCCCTAAGAAAGCCACCTGCTTCGGTTTGGGCACTCGGGCAGTATTACACCCCATACACAGCATGAAATGACAATACTTACGGAAAATATTATACTTGCTTCGATTAACAGATTTGTGTGGTTCATATATATTTGATGCTATCTTGTACCAATATTGATGTGTTCAAATAAATAAATAATAGGCTTCAGTAAACTTCAGTGTACGTCCCTGAATACATTTGTACAAAGCTATAAGGGCTGGATTGATATCAACATTATGACCGGTTTCAATTAAATTTTTCCCATTAAAGGAAGATGTTTGTCTATCCTGCGATCTTATTTGACCATTGGAGTTCATTTTTTTCTATAGTCACTTGGGTATGTGTTCAGTCACCCTTACTTGCAGCTCACGACCTGTCTTCCCTATTTACATGTGTCCACACATATATGTAAAGTAATAGACTCAATGGGATATGATGATGTCGCTTACATGTTGTTTGGGTTTTCAGTGAAACATATACTTTGATTATTCGATAATGACGAGTTAGAGTGCGTAGGATGTCCCGTTGATGGCTAATTTAAGCTTCAACATGAGACTTTTTGAGTCACCTCTAAATGATTAGGTGGTAGACTCGTTTTCCGGGTGCCGGAAACGTCATGGGTCTCATCGTATTTCTACCAACGGTTTGTAAACCCGAATGAATAACCGTTATTAAGTTTCCAGTTTAGAGCTTCGTGTCTCCTTCAATAATATCACTAGTACAAACACGATTGATCCCATTTAGTAAGCCCTTTATTAATCCACGTTTGTAATGAGTTGGACAATAACTATGGAAGTTAAGAGACTGCTCTGTCCATGTCGAATTTCTATGTACAGAACGTTTGATCAAGCCATCATCTCTTCTACTAATCATTATGTCCAGAAAAGGGAGCAGGTTATTCATCTCTTTTTTGCATTTTAGAGGAATATGCTTTTGACTTGTGTTGATTTCTTTGAACAAGCGGTTCACAGCTTCACTTTTATCACCTGTGACTAGTATGCCATCCACGTACCATTTATACGGACACATCTTTTGAATTGAGTCTTTAACTAGACTATCCACATATCGACCAACAATGATCCTGAAGGACTACCCATAGCTTCGCCATCAATTTGTCGAAAATGCTCACCTTCGAAAGCGAGTCTCACATCGTGAGTATATTTCTTTAAACATAAACATTAATACAAAAAGGCATCAAATATATATGCGCCACACATTGTCAGTACATAATGATAATTATGATAAAACTTTAAGTTTTTACAGGGAATGGCAATGAATGGTTATTCAAGGAAATATAATCACACAAAATATTATGTTTATAATACAAATTCAAAAATACTTGCTTGTTGAACGTATCATTTTATACGAAAAGTTAGTTTCTATGCTCTTGAACTTGCTTTTTTTTGTAACTGTAGGATCAAGTAGAGAATCTTTTTAAACATGAAATCGATCAGATCGGGCTAACTGAGTCCTACTTCAAACTTTTCTCCGATGTCCAAAAGTTACAGCATGAATTTGGAAAGAAACTAAGGTAAAGTAACATTTTATTACCATTCATTTTCGATTTCTATAGGAAAACGGTTTCTGTATATTTACCGAGGAAGAAACCCGATGTTGACGAATTATCTTCTGTTCTGACATATTCAAGTATCGTTCCACAGATACTTGAAATGGGTGTAACACATGAGGCTAGTTCCAAAAAACTTAATGAATCTGTTGTCAATCCATTGAAAACTCAAGTCGAAAATGAGAAGAGATCCTTGGAAAAACAGCGTTCTCATTGGTCAAAGCTAAACGCGACCATAGAACAGTCGCGTAAACAGTTAGAATTAAGCTGGCAAAAGTATGTAACCAATTTCAAAGAAAGGCAGAAAGCATATGAGGTTTCGGAAAAGGCTCAAAACGATATCCAACTAGCGCGGGTCGATCAACAGAAGGTGGGTTTATTATTTATTGTTACATCGGTGGTAAATTTGACCCACACTCTAGAGTTTTGTTTTTGTCAGTATGGTGTTATATTTCATTTTTTCCTATAAAGTTGGTTGTAGTCCATGGTGATGTGTGTACATATTTTTAAAATTCGAGTGATTACTAAGCACAAATATCTTATCAGTCAGTCAGTAACAACGTAGAACTTCGTACGTACGTACATCAGTTCGAGTTGCCACACCACATTAGCACAGAGATGCAGTTGTCGATTCAAATCCCGTAGTGGTAGAGGTAATAAGAGTATAAGCAGTGATCGGGAAGATTAGGGTTTGGAGATGTTATTTAAAGAGTATAATATCTTATAGATGTTATAAGTTTAATACCATGACAAATGCCGAGTAATTGACCCTCACTTAGGCCATTCGAGTAAGTAAATCTTTTATTTGTGACGTGGTCAAAAGACTTAATTTCCTTGCTTCCTATCATGAAAATCAGAATACCCACCAGTTTGTGGTACATGAGCCATCCAAATGCATGTCCTATACTTCAGTTAATTGCTAGTAACTGGCAGTCAGTTCCTTTGTATAGTTTTCGTAGGACTTATTTTCACATGCTACTGTTCGGAATGGGATGTTAAAGCTTTAAATATGTGTTTTACATATTTCGTTAGTAGTGGCTTATTGGTTAAGGTAATTGACTTTCAACCATTAGATCACAGGTTCGAAGCCTTTTCTAACTACTTTGACTAGGACAACCGGATAGTATCGTTAGTCTTCACATCAGCATGTGGCATAAAGCTAAAAACAGAAACCTATACTTACCAAATGGGTTACATTATTTATTATTGCTTCATTAACATACAATGACCTTGTAACATCGTTTAAAGTGTATTTTTGAAATGCTGTAATTATAATAGGTAATCGGTAAATTATAATCTGATGCCACGTGAAAGTAACATAGAAGTGTTAATCTGGGATAGCGTGTACAATTAGATGGATTTTATGAACGCAGTATGGATTATATTAATACCAAACAGTTATTTTTAAGCTCACAATATTTCTGTATTGGTTGTCTTACCACTTTTCTCTAGTTTGAAGCTCTTTATCAAAGTAAAATGCAGTCTTTTGATCAAGCTAGTAGAAATTACGTCGATGAATTAGCTAAATACAATATAGCCAATCGACGTTACTTCAGCACAGATATAGTGACTTTTGTAGATGATATGGAATGTTCAAGTCGTATGCGAAATAATCGTACTCGTGAACTTTTACTGATGGTCACCCGCATTAATGAAGAAACAATTTCCAAACTTACTAGCTGCAACAAGCTGATTTCTGAGGCTGTTTCTGCTCTTGATTCCTCCTATGTAAGTTTTTTTTTAAAAAAAATTGTTTCCTTTAGTGAGTTCACCACATTTTTATTAATTCCAGCAAATGTTTGGTCTTTTAATTTTTCCACGCTGTTACAAAAAATTCTTGTTTTTTATTGTAAATTTCACGAGGTTTATTTAACGTAATCCATTGAATATGCCATCTGAATTTGAAATTATGCATCCATTTACAAGATCTTCAGTAAATATATGGGGCAATTTATTTTGTGATTTGGAAGTTTGTAAAAATATTACAAATTCCGCCAACGTTAGCACAAAGTATTCCTACACATTATTCTGTGTATATTAAAACAATTTAGAATCGATTTACATAGGCATCTGCTGTTTCTAGTAACTTATGTTAAATTGATTCATTAGAACAAATTATAAAAAAATCACGACAATGTTTATATCAGTAAGAAATTAGAAAATTATTTGAGTTGTGCTTGATGTTTATCGAAATGCATGGTCTGATGTCATAAAATATATAATAATGTATCGTAAAGTTTTTATCTCGGATATATCAGACAATGATAGCTTACTTATGAATGTTCCCAATGTAAATTAATCTTCTAAAACTAAACATTCTGGTTTTTTTTTGTACGACAGAGTATTTTTCGTGTAATTTATCACTACTAAATCACATAATTAGAAAAGTAACATTTGTTATAGTTTTTATTTATCTATTTCAACACATAGATAATGGTACAAAGAGGCACCAAATACATATGCGCCACACAAATCTCATTCGATATGTGCGAGGGCTTTGATACTGCCCGGGTACCCAAACCGAAGCACGTGGTTTTCTTAGGGGGCCACGCCCCGAGCCTTCGACCTGAAGGTCTGATCCGCAAGGCAGTGGAGCATCGTGAGGAGATGCAGTCCCATGGAAGCTGGTGACCAATAATTGGTTCATACGCCATTTGTTCCCGCAGGATACGGGAGTTCATGTGCACCACTGATTTGGTTTGGGATCCGGTTAAAGCGCCATACATTCGCTTTTCGTCCTCTCATTTTCGTAAACATCATCCCCGTCACGAGAAGGCATTGAGTAGGACTTCTCTGGCAGAGGCTATATACGCGTGGCCATGTGGGGGCATTTCGAGACGGAGAGCGGACTCTCCCCACTCTCGGCGTACCAGGGCATTTGGGGGCATTTGTTATAGTACCTACATTTATTTAAAGTGTAAATGTTGATTGGTCGATTGGTTCCCGTATCTGATTGTGTGAACTGTGTTTACAGTAAACAACTTGGGTTATATATATATATAAACTTATTATCTATTCAATATGTGTATTATGTAAACTTTTGTGTTGTTCACATGACTTATCCTTTTACAGGACTCAGCTAAGGTAATAAAGAGGTTGCATACAGATGAACAACCTCCTGCTGATTTACCATTCCTTGATTTGGATAAATGTCCTCCAGGTATTTTGGATGGTTCTGTCTCAGAACTGGGAGCTTTAATACTTGGTGTCGAGTCAGCAGAATGTTCAAATCAGTTAAATAACTCAGGAAGTGCTATTTCAGGAAGCGGGATGATGAGTGGACTCATTCGGTCTACTCACAAGAATTCAAAGGATGAATATCTTAGTTTACGCTCACCATTTATTTGTGGCATTAGTGTAAAAAGTATAAAAGTAAGTTTAAAAAATGTACGTTATTCCACAAATACAGACTACCTGATTCGGATCTGGGTGATAACTGCGGTTAGAGACTGGGCGACATAATTCAGAATCGTTCACAATGACACAAGTTCACTCATTGGTTGTCTTATTGGATTCTAAGTTTCCAAATCACCTCATAAAAACGCTTTTCCTTTTTTATTTCATAAATCTGTATTTTCTCGAATAATATCTTCAATACCTAGTCTTTTCTATCCTTTCTAACATTGCTACTGCATCTAACACTCTAGTATTTGCTTTGAGAATTTCATTTCACCGTGCAGATGAGGTGTGTGACAACCTGAACCGATGCACTCATTCGTCTATGTTGCATATGGCTGACCGACTGACTTCACCAGGCACTAACTAAACTGTCATTAATCAGTTTCTTCATCGTCTTCAAAATTTTTAAAACGATACCACTGTATAATGGTAACTACGTTGAAAATCATATTATAACTCTATTATGAGTCATGAGTAATGAGTATATTTATGTGGTCGAATTTCTTTCAATTGTTGTGCTTCTCACCTTGGTATTTTGTGAATAGTTGTTTAAAGTTTAAGGGGTCACAATTGATCTATCTATGTGGCCAGAAAAGTTTGAACTAGACCACTGTACCACACCATTAATGGTTTTGACTCAAAACTTGTAGAGTAACTGAAGATTTGACAAACGATTATGTTAATTGGTGTAAGTAGCCGTCAATCAGTGATCGAATTACGGTATAACTTTTATAGAGTTACAATCTGAAGTATAATTACACCCATTATATATGATTATTAATTTCCTCAGTAGTATTTTGTTTGCCATCATAATAGACCCACAGACAAATACAATGACATGAAATTTGTTTCTGAAGTGCATTGGTCAATACTTTCTACAACTGTGGGAATGTGTTTACATGGGTAAAGTGGCGTAACTAGTAGTGAACATGTAAATGACAAGCCAGTGTACTGATGATTGAATATAGTAAAAGTAAGTGAATCTATAACATCCTGATTGGCATTTAGTCTTTGACCATTGATGTTTATCAATACAAAGGCATTACCCCAGCACACCTACCTATGCGACTCAAATTAGGTGCTAGTGTTAAACTGGACTGGTCGAACTTCGACATATGTTCACCCTGAAACTCTTTTATTCGGCTTTACACTTTTTTCTACGTATTTTCATTTCAACCGTAATGTTCTTTTCGTTTCTCATTTGCATGGGTGGAAAATTTTCAAAGATAAGATATGGTTCTTGATGATTTGTGTTCATTTAATAAAATGCTTTTGATATTTCAATATTCTTAGTATTTTCATGCTCTTCTGGTGAATGTTAACATGTTTATATGTTTATCATGAATTGGCGAAGCTAAAGTAACCAAGTTCATGGATGATATCAACCTTGTGTGGAATTATAACTTTCCTAAATGTAATTGTTGAACAATGGGTCAGTAATTTGAACACTTTACTCTCATCTCTCATTATGGGGATTTGTGAAGATTGTAATATTTTCACAGTTGAATTCACGAGTCAGTCTAAACTAGACCACCACTGAAAACCTGGAAGCATTGGACAGCCGTTTCATTTTAGTATGGGACTTCACAGCAGCGCGCATTTACGATCCCGCACGCGAAATTCGAACACTTTAGGGTTGGTGATGAACTATTCCATTCATTTGACTGATTTTATGTTAAAAATGACATGAACAAATATGCGTAACAGATTTTCAGCAAACCATTGTTCTGTCTGAAATGTTCGTAGATGTTTAAATGTAGTGCTTATTAAATCATTGACATATATCAATTAAGAATTGATGTGTAATTTATAAATCGTAAGCTGTACAAACAATCATTGTCAGACTTTGCAGTATGTTTTTTGGTTTGTGTGCCTTTCCATAATAAAATAACGAAGTCGTCGCTCTGGTTTTTTATTTACATACTTATATAGTCCAAATAAAAACATGTGAAAAGTATTGTATGTTTTTTTATTTTATCTCTTAAATAATTTTGGTAAGTTAACTATCTTTATTCAGTAATTTTACTTTATTTCAAGAATACAGATTTAACTATCAGACAAGTTGCTGACCGGATAAAAGTACTAAGGGACTTGGTTATGAAGACTGATAATGAACTGTAAGTACTTTATTGTAAAAATTCTTTGAATAAATAATACTGATATGCTCAAACGGTAATTGAAATAGTCAAATTTAATATTTCAGTTCTCCAACATTTTCGTTGGATTGTATCCAGTTGTTGTTAAAGTTGATACTTCACATATGATGATTTAATTAAATAATGCTCTAGACCATTGCAAAACATTTTTTCATCAAATTGTCAATCTATGGACTCTAACTAATTCTCTTTCCAATCTTAAAAGTGTTTACTTTACTTGACAATTTCTCAAATATCGAATTTAGATATGTAAACCATGGGATGCCGACCCAATGATCTAAAGGTTAAACACTCACGACGAAACCTGAAGATGCTGGGTTAGACAAAGCAGTTGTCCAGTTGTTTGTGGTTTTCAGAGGTTGTCGACGATCAATCCGTGATGTAAACTATAATAATTTTCTTTAAAAGTACTAAGAAGAATATGTTTCTAGTGTCTGGTTAATATTGGAAAGTTGAAAAATATGACCGAAGAGAGTTTGGGACGCGTAAAATCAGTAATGTAGTCACTTTATGCTAGATATTCAAAGGCGATCAATTATTAACTCTCCAAATCTACCATATCATTTGCTTAAAGTGTATTTTTTCTTTAAGTATTAAGGGGTTTAGAGGGTAGGTCTAATCCCTGAAAACTAAAAAAAATCCATTATTTTTCTCTCAAGATGCTTTTGTAGTTTTTATTTGATTATAACCATAAGAAAACACAAAGAAACAGTCAGGGAACCTGTTAAATCCACTTTTGTAAACTCGCTAATTACACTAATTTGAATGATTGTATCATATGAAGTGGATTCTGAGTAATCAGTTATAATCCCTTCTCTTTAAGTATACCGACGAAGTCTAATATAATGGCAAAATAATGGTAATAGTTTTATTTACTTGATAGTCATTCCTTTACAGATCTATGACCTGTAAAAGCATTTAAAGAATAAAAAAACGTTTAAACGTACCATCTTATAAAGGATTATTTTGTCAACCATTCAGTTATCTGAAATGTTAGGAGCACTAATTACCTTTCCTTTTAGTTGCCTTAATATTCCACACTTCATAGTGTAAAGAATTGGAAATTTTTTGGTTACCACTAGAATAATGTAACTATATATATTCAATCTCTTGCCAAATGATCATTATCAAGTGATTGATCTCTACAGTACCTGTTTATTTCATATACACCGTTATTCTGATAGAAATTAATTTTAACTCTTTATTATTTCAACTATGCATTTGATTTCTCTCATTTCGCACACATGGACGTTTCAAAAACATTTTAAATTTACACTTTTACCTTAAATAAACAAATTTGCACCGATTATCGACTATTAACAACATCAGGTTACACAAACACATACATTAGTTTCATTTCACTTTATGAAATTTTCGCATGATTCACATTTTACTGACTCATATTTTTTTGCTCACTAAATTCGTTATCTTAATATAATCGGATAAGCTTTTAATGCAGATTTGGTTGCTATACATTATATATTCTTTGACAATTTTGATTTTGATAATTACCCTGAAGAAGTCCAAACAAGATTGCTGGATGAAACATTGGAATTATTTGACTTTCGATCGCTACTGTTATTTCAATCATAATTTTTCATAAACCATGTGTTTTATTATGCTCAGTGCCAATTTCTTTCAAACTGTTAGTTCACAGATTGACGTATATTTGTATTAATATATATCACTGTATTGTTGGCTCTATTCCATTTTCACTAATACAAATCCTTTTTTTTCCATTGTTTCACCATCTAACACATGCTAAACTGTCAATTTGAATATGATTTATATTTTAAGTAAGAAACTATATCTTCAAGTGTATGACGTTCTATAAGGGATTTAGAAATGTAATAGAATTGAAACAATAGTGATATGTATTATTTATACTTGAGCATAGCATACCTGAATACCTAGATCAGAATTCACATGATCATAGTGATACAAATGTGATTAAAGTATGAATTAATTGTGATTCATGAAAAATCACAGCATTGTAATTTCTACTCAACTCTCGTTCCATACAATTGATACGATTCTGTGTAATGGTAATCATTTTCAACTCACATTGCTTTCTTGTTGTTTGGTAAGTAAATCATAGTTATAACATGTTGATTGACTGATTCACGCATAAGTGGCATTATAATTTCTCCCAAAATACGCATATTCATTTTTTGATCAATCGTATTATTTCATGATATTCTTTTTCAAGATTTGGCAGTTACCTCTGAGGTCACCTATTTACTTTAGCAGGTCAATCAATTGATTATGAACTCGCAGTCATTTCATTAATTTACCAATCAGTTGTTCCATCGTAGCAAAGACGAGTATCAACAATTCCTTGGTGAAGTGTAATTAACAATCTAGATTATTTAGCGCACTTATCTAACTGTAAAATGTTTACTTTTTTCTATAGTTATTTTGTAGCTTTATTACAAGCTTGGATATATATACATTTTTATTTTATTTTTAAAGGCGAAGTACCGATCGTATGATTGAATCCTGTCGGACAAATCCTAAATTCGGAGATATGGAATGCTTAGTTCGAGCAGGTGCTACTTACAGTAGACGTTTAAATTCTTTAAAGCAACACATTAAAGAACTTGAGGTAACATACTTCCTGTGGATGTAAATAGTTTTTCTTTGTTATAGAAATAATATCAGATATTAGTTATGACAAATATACTAATCTGCCTTACTCTACCTGCAAATACATGTATGGAAATACGTAGAACTGTAAATGTGAATAATTAAGTAGAAGAAAATTGTCATACCTTAAATAGAAGTTCACTCAATCTTTAATTAATGACAAAGAAACAAAACAGTCTTATTGAAGTTGTTATTTAAAGTTTTGCTCTCCGATTCTCTCGGAAATCAGTGTATATATCGATATATAATATTTATCGGTAAATATTTGTTTAGATTATGGTTTAGCAAATATTAGCTCACTATTCGTCATGACAATTATTTGAGTTCGTATTTTGTTTAACTAATACTAATACTAAAATCAACTTTTGTTGTAGCGTGAACCATAAACTTACACTTGGTAGATAATGAGAAATCAACAAAGAGTTACTTTTTAAAACATAAAAATCTTGATTAGTTAAAGTTGTATGTTTCATGCTTTGAACAGATATATCGTACGAAAAAAGTAAGATGTAAACCGATAGATAAATTGATAAACTAGCTAAAAAATCATTAGTGTTTATGTAATTACTTAATCTGCTCATTTTATTCGAGACCGTGATTGAAAACTATAAACAAATATATTTCAACCGTATATCTATCAAGTGATCAGTCATAAATGACGTAGAATATGGCACACATGTGTATGGACACAAGTTGTCACATCTGAATGTGATGACAAAAGAAAAAAATCAATAGGATAAAAAGATCATAAGAATCCCAATAATGATATTAATAATAAGATTCATGATGGCGAAATGAAAACACAACGAGAGCATTCCATTTATTTTGAAAATAACGGGTTAATGTGTGAACAAAATACAATTATGAACTAACATTCCAATTTAACATCTAGAAAAAGATAAAGATATAAACTACTGTGATAAACGTCAAGCTATAACTTCACCTAATGCGTCTGACCATGGATTACGAATTACCTACTTATCTCGACCATAAAGTCTGCATCTTCAAGTGACTGAGAAAATTTGACGAATACCACCTGATACTGAGTATTCAAGGGGTTCTTAATCGTTTAGACCAGTTTCTTAAGACATTCAAATATTGCAATAAACCTTCGTGTCTCAGATTTATTTCGGCCAAATAATTACGAATGCTGAACATACTTACTCACGTGCTTTTACAAAAAGAAGCTTACAACCTACCGCCATGTTTGCTGGAAAACGTAAATGTTGACACCATATTTAATGGAATATTCTCCTCTTTGTTTCTCTTTTGAGGAAACTACCAGTCAGTTACACTAGAATGCATGCATCTAATGTATGGTGGACGAAAGTGAATAGTTGTCTTAGCTGAACTGGTAGAAAGCTTTCTCCATTAAAGATGAATGACAGACACTGACTATTTAAATATAAAATATATTTTTGAATAATTAGAGTTTGAGTGTAAATTAAAGGGAAGTTTTCTTTCATACTAGATAATTGATGCTGAGTTTTTTAGTGTAATAAAATTAATAATAATATTAGGTACACCGAACGTTAATTTTAGCCTTGTTATTGTTGGTGACACAGAGAATCAAGTCATCCGAATATCTCTTAAACATTTACTTGTGTAAATGCACGACTAAGTGGATTCGATCTTCAACTTTGAAGCCAAGCGAGTTTTTTTTCAGTTTTGGTGGTGTTGAGTGCTGTTGGAAGTATGTGTGGTTATCACTTCCCTGTTGCCCACACCGTGGAAGTGTTCTTCTAGAGGTACCATGAAAGGAAATCGCGTTGGAGTTGGTCTAGTGACCTGATAGCATGACTGCAGTGCCAAAGGGATAGCTGCTTGAGGCCGGTCAAGCACGGCTTTTCGTGAGTAGTTTTTGTGTTAGCTCCCTACTTCTTGAAATTTTACCACTGGGAATGGAAATCTGTGGGATTAGGCTATTAATTAGTTTATCAGTTCACATCTTTAACATTTTAGTTAAGAGTTAGAGCATACGAAAATACTACCACTAATTACTTGTTTCTAGATGCCTTTTGATCTGAATTATAGATGTTGAGTTCTCTAAGTTTCTATCATTAATTATAATGAAACTATGATTAAGTTGCTCATTAAAAAAATGTGATCATTTTTAGGTGAAATTCAACAATCTAGGTGGTGATCTAGCTTATACAAAAGCTGAATCAATAGCTGAAAAGCTTAGTTCACGTGCTGTAATCAATAATAACACAAATACTTCTAAGGTTCGATCTGTAAATACTAAATCGTAAGTTGATCAGTCTATTGCTTTATTTCTCTTGCTTTTTTTGTATTTAACCAACCTAGTTTTAATTATTTTATACTATAACTATCTATTAATCCTTTGTCAACTAGTCAATTTCTCTAGAATATGATGAATTCTGTTTGTTTGTTTGTTTGTTTATTTTAGGATGGTACTTTAATCAGTTTCTTTCTTTCTTCAATCTACACATTAATTGAGAAGTTTCAAGGTCAACACTTTTTATTTCTTAACTCCAGTGTGGTTTTTTTTAAAAAACAAGCAAATAAATTCTTACAAAAGTGCACAAATAGTCTTGAACTTATTATAATAGGAATTTTAAAAAAAATGAGCAGTTCTGTCCGTTTGTTTAACTTGGAAGATATGTTGCTTGTTGGTAACAACTGAACATAAAATATAATGGATACAATTCATTGTGTTACATATAGTGACTGCAATAATGTCATATGGTAGTTAAGTAAGTATAGTGCACTGTGAAGTTTAATACTTCAAGAATGAATTGCATCCAACACACTGGTATTGATGTTTAACTATCCATATACCTCTAGACCGCCTAACATTGTAATAAAATAACATAAATCTACAAAGACAAGTGAGTGGCGAAAGTCTTAATGGAATATTCTTTATAAATATCAAAGCAAAATCTTGATATAACTGGTTTTCATTAAAACTTGTACTCATAGTTTGCTGAGTTACTTCGATCTATTGTTCTCAGTTGCCGTTGCACGATTGTTAACTCTCATAACCTATTTTTTCGTTATCTAACAAGCTTTTGCATATTGAGATTGAGCATCCACCCGCTAGCAACTAAATGACCATCAACAAATTGACCGTGTTAATACATTATTAATAATGTCATCAACGCAATAGGCTTTTTGTTAGGTTGTATATTGTTATCTATGTGCAAACATTGATCCTATTTCTATTGACTTGATTTCCTGTTCACTTTTAAATGCATTATTTTGTCTCAATTCACAGTCTTGATGATGATGAAGATGATGATGATGAAAGTGATCATTCATTTGATTCGGATGCTGACGTTGCTACGAATAACAGTAAAGATGATAGTACTGTAAACAGCAGTTCGGATCTACACGCAGGAACTCGATATGTTGGCTATGCTTCTGCTCTTTACGAATATGAAGGTAAATAAAGTATTAAGGAATCTAAATCATTTTATACTTGTGATGTATTACACAATACCGATATTCATTACACATTTGTTTTGAATGATGTAATTATAGTTGTTGTAAATAGTTTTCTCCAGTCTGTTTATTGTAATTATGCCCATTCAGATTTTGGTGGTTTAAAAATCATATAAGTATTTATGAAATTCCAAAACACAAAATGATCCAATCATATTTGCTACTATACTGTACAGATAACTCGTCTTGCACTATCTCACACCGTGAAAATATTCCATAGGAAAAACTCAGAAACTGTACAACCAGTTACATTCACAATGAATAACTATTTGAGAACACGTAAATACAGTGTTACACGCAGATTATCTGTTAGAAAACTACCACTCAATGAGTAATAACTAGAAAAAGACTAGTTAGATATTATATCAGCAACGATTTACTCAAAATTTCTCATCTTTCCGATAGGTCAGTCCGTGGCTGGAAAATTATTTCTCACGTCAACCTAATGACTCTCGTAGTTGATGGAAATTTAGCTCAGACACTCGTACAGCTTTAAAGAAGTCCACCCTATTAAGAGATATCTGATTTTGAATTTGCTCAACTTATCGACACAATGTCTATGATTAAACGTCAACACGTGTAATCTCCATAAAAATAGTCGCAGTAAATGCATTACTGATCATATGTCTTAGTTTATTCTGATATTGCGATAGTCAAAAGTGTGGTGGTTACATCCTAAAATTAACATACAAAATAGGAAACTAAGGTCAAATCATACTAGCAGGATTGAAATAGTGCCCTTTATAAGTATACTTTTGAGAACTTGCTAGATGAAATACTCAAACAATATATAAAAAGTTTATTAAAAAGTTTTCTGCCTAATTGCCATGAGGAAATCAGGTATTAGGTAAGTGCTTCAAACGAGAACATTTGGTTGTACAGCTTTTTTAGAGACCTTATTTTAATCTATTTACCATTGACATGCGATCATTGATTATCAGCTTGTTAAATCAATAACGTGGATAACAAAAGCGACCATTTTATTTCCACCTTTTGATTTTCCACAAGGATATCGGAATTATTTGTATACAGAGGAATACTAATATTATTTTAATATTAGGCTAGTCAAGATAGTGCTTTCTTTTTATGTCTTCTGTGTGCATAGAAAATGTCAGTATGGTTTGTCTTTGTAAAATTACTGAAATCTTTTGATGGATCTCACACAATATATTGTTAAAATTGAAATTTTACTCTGTATAATGTGGATTGAAAGCTGCAATCGCTACAAATATAATGGAGGTTGTTTTTCGAAAATCTACATAGCATTGACGAGTTTCATGTTTCGTTGTGCAATAATTGAAAAGGAACGTGTTAAGATAGCTATCCATTGTTCATCTAACTATTCTCAGCAGTTATTTAGCTCCTATTGTCTTGATTCAAAAAAGGGTTATATCAATAGCTCTAACGTAACAAAAGAAAAGAACAACAAATTTATGATCAAACGGTAATACTGATACAGTTCCTCCGTATAGGTCAACGTATTAGACAATGAGTGACGATTGTTGAGGCATTACTTGTAAACTATTCAAAACCAAAATTGAAAGCAAAATTTAATTGTTTGTTGATGAGGTACAGTGGTCTTGAGTGCTGTTAGAGGTATGAGGGCGGTTATCACTTCCCGGTTGCCCACACCGTGGAAGGGTTCTTCTGGAGGTACCTGAATGATACGTCTTGTCGATGAGACGCTATATACGCTATATACCAGAGAGAAGACACAAGTATGAGAGAAAATACTTTATCCTAAGGTTCATTTTTGTACAGAAAATCAAGGGTATTTATAGATGTTGGCGTTTGTTAAATCAACATCATATTTCAGCCAATCCGTTAACGTCATATTATGCTACCGACCAATAGTAGCACGCCACGCTGGAATTCTCTAACGTTCCATCATACTCTGATTGGCTAGGACCCTTCGGCTCCTTTTGGGCCTCTGGAGGCTCCGTTGAAGTTCTCCGGAAGCCGACTCAACACTGAAAAGGAAATTGGATTAGAGGTGGTCTTAGTGACCTGAGAGCGTGACCACAGTGCCCAAGGGGCAACTGCTTGAAGTCGGTCACACACGACCTTTTTATGGGTGATTTTTGTGTTAGCTCCGTACTTGTTGAGATCTTACCGCCGGAGACGGATATCCGGGGGATAAGGCGAGGTGTTCATTTTTAGGGTCCACCTTTTCTAACCCCACCCCTCCTTGTGGGAAGGCAGCATCGCTGTCATGCTGGTTGTCTGAAGGAAACACCTTACTGCAGTCACACCTCTGTACAGTCAGCAGTACGACTTCGCCTTCGGAACTTGGGTTTGTTGCTTTTAGTCTTACCGCTCTTCAACCGACCTGTCTGACATGGTAGGACCTTGAGGAACGTTTGTTCCAGCCAGTATAGCTCGGTTGCTTCATCACGATAGGCAAGCCCGACCACCACGTCAAGGTAGCAACAACGGTCGGGTGTTGATTATTTCTACCAATATAAAGTCGATATGACTTTGTGGTAGTTCTTTGCCAAGGTTCTTTAAAATACATTTTAGACTACTAATGGAAAGCGATATCTCATATCACGTTGATAGTGCTTTACGATATGTGATGAAATTTGGCTGTCTATCTATTTTGATTCTATGCGATAAGTTCAAATGCATAGTATGACTCTTCCTACCACTGAGAGATATTTAAGTAAGTCCAGTATGTTGGCTTCAACATACAAGATACAATCCTCACATGTATTTCTCTTAATCGTTTAAAATTCCCACATAAAATCATATGAATGAGTTCAATATACATTTCGATATTTTCATCATAAACAATTAATCAACTGACCCCCAAGGTAGTGAAAACTTTTATTTTCTCACATTTTCCCTCCGATCAGGTGATGGGAGTACATATTTAGCAACAAAGCCCGGAGAATTGTATTATGTTTTAAAAGTAGATTCAACTAATTCTGGATGGACAGCTGTAGTATCTGAAGATGGAACACGTCAAGGTTTTGTTCCAACTGGTTACATCAATTTAACCCTTTATTGAATTGTCACTTTTTATCAATTTGTTAATTTTTGTCATTTCCACCTTCCCCTAATTCTCAATTCAATTTACTGTTAATATGAGTATTACAGCTCTTCCAGTTGAATGAATTAGTAATTTCCACTTTTCATTAATATTGAAAATAATATATTGGTTTGTACATTCACTCCCCTGACTTAATTATTGACACAATCTTTATTATTTTCAATTATTATCACTACTGTTATGTATGACTATTCTTATTCTCTAATAGTTGACTTTAAGTCTACACAATCAGCTTAATTATTTGAAAATTCCACCTCTGTACACCAGTTACTTTTCACATATATTACAATAAATGTTAAATGTACAATACATTAATCATTTATAACACCTTGAACACTTAACACACTAGTGCCTTTACTCATGATTCACTGCAACTTACTGATTGATGTTATGATTGTATTATCTCATTGTTTTTCTTTTCAATAATGTTCACCTTCTAAAAACGAAAGTCACCTTATCGTTAACATTCAGTTTGATTTTGTATTCCGATATCATTAAATAAAAGTCAACTAGTGGTATTAATTGATTGATCATCTAGTCTTTAATATTTCCAATATAATTTATCCAATTTGTCCATTCCTATTATTGCGTAATCATTAAGCTTGTATTCATTTATTTATTTTTTCATTTATGAAACATGTTGATAATGATGTTTCGCAAGATTTGGTTTGCTTAATATGTATTCCGTTTTCTATTATTTTCTTTTATTCAAAAACGGTATACCCTAATTCTTGTACAACATACACTTATGAACAATAAAATGATTTTAAAAACAGGTACGACACTCAACAATTTATTTGCTTCATTGTCTAACTGCTGAATCTATTTTCAATGCATCATATTTGCGAACCTCTACTTGATTTCATTGTTTTTCTCATCTTTTTGTCTGTTTTTTCCTAACTAATTTTAGCTGACGTAATTTGGTAAATTGTGTGGTTGTATATTTTATGTATTAATTTTTCTACATATAAAGAGGATACTATATATATTGGTGTTTCAGTTATGCTAGATACTAACGCCTCATCTGTTGATTGGTAAGTGGCATGGTAGCCTTCAATTCACCTTGTAGTTATTTAATAAAACATATGTGTTTACCCTAATCCAAGTATTTGGATTTCTCTTAGTACAAGATTTATACAAATGGTTTTACTACGTTTGTTGTTTATATGACGGCTAAGTTAATTGTTCTTGAATTTAAATATGGATGCCCGGCAGTAGTGACTCAAGACCATTGTCTGCTCCAACGAATGTTATTTCTAAAACTATTTTCTTTTCAGTTCACAACTCAGCAAGAAATAGTTTTTCACAGATTTACAGTCAGATCTGTCTCCGTACTTATGGATGTGGATTAATGTGAAGAGAACATTTTGTTAGATCACCATAAGAATGTCTATCATTTAGGCAGTCTGTTTTGTATATAATCATTGATAAATCTCTGATATCACAACTAAACAATAGTATCATTTTAGGAAGATGGTGACAATAGGTTGATACGAATTAATAAACAATGGTAATGAAAATAAGGATATATTATTGGGAAAGTTGTTATTATTTCGAGCTGACTTTATGTGACTTAATTGTTAATAGTATAAAACATGAAATGTTTTCATGACATGTAAATAGAAGTGAAGCCACTTCACAATACTCCATTATTGGTTGACAGGATACTATGGCGAATATTAATCTCGTAAGCCTAGAGATATCTTCAGTGAATAAAATACAAATGATAGCATAAACAGATATAACAAAAAGGTGGTATGAATATATCATCAAATACGTTTCGTTATGGTATATTCGAGATTCTACCTATTAGAAGATACATGAAATGGTCTAGGGATTAATATGCTCGGTTCGTTTATTCATACTGTTTTTGTCCTCAGTATTTCCATTTGGGACTGTAGTGCATCGAAATGTTCCATGGTTCATTAATTTTTTTGAAGTAAACTAATTAACATCAGAGTTCAATTTTGTAGCACATAGTTAGTGCTTCAGTGTAATGATGTACTACTGATACCAGTAATAAATAACGATTCCGAAATTTAATTGATTATTAGATTTTGTTTAGCCATAGGAAAAGTAGTGTTTGTAGTATTTTGCAGTATTTTCTTGATCGACAGATTAGTCTCAAAGTTCCTCAGAGGGAAATTCGATGGCGTAATGTCATGTAATTCCAGTCCCCATCGTGTTAGAGCCTATAACATTTTAGAAGCAGACGAAACAGAGCATGGAACCAAGAAGTTAACACCAGGACTCGGATATATATATATATATATATATATATATATATATATATATAATTCCTATGTTATATACTCGCATATTGAAGAAATGCATTAAGATTATAGAATGAGACAGAAACTCAAAAGGATAGGAACACGACCCAAAACAGCATTAATTGTTATACTTAGGATTGTTTTTGTCAAGATTATTTGTCATAATTATTTTTATCAGGGAAAAAAAAGATATCCCGCCATTATCATAGATCAATTAGCAGTTATTTCATTTCAATGGTATTTTAGTAATGAAATGAAAACAGCGTTTGTTTATTTAAACACGACAGGGATATCCGCTATCTCCACAAATTCTAACAAAATGTATCAAACAACTGTTTGTTCCCTAATTTAAGACTCAAAATCAGCGCTTATCGAAAACCCCACTCGATGTAATCTGTGGAAACTCAACAATTTTCACAAATGTCTCCACTATGTGTGAAATACCTTGCTGTCCTAATTGTGAAGACTGCTTTTCTCAAAATATAAGTTTTGAGGAACATAGGTTCTCAGTCCTTTCTGTGTACTTGTTACTAAAGAACTCGTAAATTCACTAAACAATGGTATATATTTGCAGCTCAGGAAAACGATTTTGATGAAGTTAGTCTCTCTGGATGAATAGTTTAATCGTGATTTTTTAGGTGTATTTCTACATAACATCGGTAGTAAAAAGAAAGTACCACTAGGAAGATTGAAGTACTACCTAGGGATGAAAGTATCTATCAGTCCGTGGGGAAATGTCATCAAAAACCTATATAGTTAAACCTCTGGTTCTCTGCCTTTGATTATACAAAATGTTATTATCAGAAGAGGTATCCAACAACAATGTCATTTTAGAAAGCGTAGATAATCAGAAGCAGAACAGAACGTTTGGGTAATTAGATGTATCACAAAACAACCTAAACATTAGCAACATCTCACAAGACTATACGGGTGCAAAACCCATTCAAAACAGATAACTCTGAGTATTTATGTGATTTCATCCTAACTATTAATCCAAATGGTTGTACACTCAATATATAGATGAGTGTATTTTCGTTTAGGGTCGTCGTGTTTTGCGGTAAATGAATATTCATTTGTACCAGGTTTGGTGTTCTTACTTCATGTCGTTGTAACTGGAATGGTTCCTCGTTTTACAAGTATAAGCAACAAGTATTTCTGAAATAACAATCAGCTATGATGCAGTCATAACAGATGTGATCATTGTTTAGTAGAGTTCATCGGACTTATGTATCGGACTTGTAACTCATCAACTGTTTAAGGACACTCAACCCTATCATTCTTTTAACTTTTTACTATGGTGATATACCCATAAAATATTGATATTGAATGACTAACTTCTTGGCAATTACATCACTGTACCATAATGTTATCTATTTTGTTTATAATTCAAATGTATTATTATTAGAAGCTTTATTCAACATTATATTTTTGGTACAACATAGAATTCTCAGCATAAAGTATTTCAACAAGTTTCCTTTTCTTATACCTTGATCGATTGTGACGATAAATTTTGAATGATGACCAGTTAGATGTTAGAAGTTCGGTAATCCACATTTGATTACTGTTCATTTGTTTCAATGCATATTGCCAGCAACCATGATGTCGCTGATTGTACCTTTTTGTATCCCCTATAGCGAAAGGTTGTAAACGTTTCATAAACGCGCCTGAATAGGTTGTGCGCACAATAGACAAAGTGATGTGCTAAAACAAACAACAAAGCAGATAACTTGATGAAATATCTAAATCAAAGGAACAGGTAGCCCAGATATTCAAGCAGGCCACCGGTTGATTAAACTTTAAAAAACCAGATACAGTTATTTCAACAGATTATATTGTTCATATTATAAAGTACGTCGTGCATTTGAACCAAAAAAAATCATCTTCGTTATTCTAGTGGACACACATGGTAAACGACATATAATGTTGCATAAAGGATTTAGTTATAATTAAGATTTATTGTTTACATTCTTGATGGTTTTTATCACTTCAAAATCATGCTTATACACAATTATACAGCTTCATAGGTAATAGTATAGGGCATCATATTCTGAGTTTGCGGTTCAATGTTACCATCCATTCGCAAAAAAATATTTCGTGTTGGTGTATTGGATTAATATTAAAATTCGTTCAAAGAGTATCAGCAGAAGGGTAATGGAGGAGGGTTGGGCATGGGGTCGGCAGTCCGATTAGGTAGAAAACATAACTGTTATGAAAACGCTTATCACAATAAAAAATTCAACCATTTAAAATCTTTCCTCCGAGTTGAAGGAAGAATTGTGATGCCTCATAGTGAAAGCCGATATTCTTCGGAAGTCACATGGCGTTCTCGAATGCCTGTATAGTCTCTGCTGAATGATGGAATGTCGCGACATGTCCTCGTGTGACGTCCGTCAGTGGTTACAACAACAATCGTCTATAATAATGTATTAGCCCCAGAAACCGTCGATATTTTTTGCGAATCGTAGACTGATAGCCACAAATAGCAGCAACGTCTGCCGGAACTGTTGTAATACTTTGAGAAGTTACGATTTGACACCAGATTTGCAAGAACCTATTTCAAAAGACACACTTCTCAACGGTGATTGAGATGCCATACGTATATACCCCTAGCAAACCTTTAAGAGCTTGATCAATAAACCAGTATAAAATTTGCTCTGCATTAGCCAATGTGAATGGCATGCGCAGAAATTCATATAGACCAAATGAAGTAGCTGCTAATGTCGTGGATGTGTCTTATCACATATTTAGCACCTAACGTTTACATGCTAAGATATCGATAATTTTCCCAAGGCCTGGCTTCTCTGTACGTTTTCATGGCCGAGTGAAACGGCAACACACGAGAGTTGATAGGAGGCCTTATAATGCTTAGCTCCATTAACTAAACGAATTCCTGTTTTGCTATTCTCAATATTTTGAGGTCCAAACTTCGTGGCCCTGCATTTGCTGGTGGTCATTTCGTTACATATATGGTCTACGAAATGAACAGCGAATGTCGAAACATTAACTGGGATTTAAAAGAATGTAAACGTTTCACTGAAGGTTATCTTTTCTAATTAGAAATGACAAATGCATTAAATGAGAGTGAAGAACATCTATTCCGTGGAATTAGTGCTCATTTCTCTTTTCAACGTATCATTTCTATTGAATTGGAGGTATTCGGAACGGTGTAATTCCTAGATATTCTTTTTCGTTACTGTATGTTTAACGACAAACTGTCTCAAGCAGCCCAATTTATTTTACCGATTATGAAAGGAGCTGGATACTTAAAGTGAACGTTTTGTTGTACTTTCGTCATAGCAAAATACAAGATATTAACACATGGGTAATCGAAAGTTTGTTGTAGTGTAGCTTAAAGAAGTTAGTACGGCAGAAATTCAGAGAAACATACTTCTAGGATCACTGAAAAAAGTATTCCATTATTTTTTAGTTCATCTTAACTTTTTCTAGTCCGCCTATGATTGGTAGTGGTTTGGAGGATAAGCTCCCGGTTTGTGACAAATCATTATACGTCTACCAGTTAATTTATGCATCCATGAAGTACTGTGATCAGCCGAACTATTGCATTTATGGTTGTGGTTTACAGGAATTTGCACAAATTTCTGACAAAAGAGGCATATCTGATTTCGTTACAACAATAACAACAACAACAACAACCACTACTACTACTACTACTACACCTTTTGACTATCAGCAATAGTGGGAAACTAGACTTATCAGTCGTCTGGTAGATGGAATGAGATGAAACATTCATTCTCGTGATATGATGACGAACACACTCATGATGATTTTTATATGTAAAAGATTGTAAAGTGAGTACGTTTTGCCTTTCGTAGTGCCAATGTACACTGTAAGTGTAGCGTATCATTTATCTTCTA